ATTTTAGTTAATTTTCTTATTTCCACTTATACATTTGTTTGGAATATCAGTTTTCTAAGAAATGGTAAAAATTATATTTTCTAGCCTTGAAATGGTTTGTCTTCCCTTCCCCTCCATTGGAGTCATATATGTGTCAAAGGGACTAGCAGCAGCTGTAGCAATAGAGATGTGCCTACACCAGAGATTCAGCTGTGACTCAGACACCACCTTGGGAATTTGGCAGTTTACCTAAAAAGTAGAGATTTCAGCAAATAAGTACAATTATACCCTGTGGGTTCTGCATTTGTTATCCAGGGTAATTGTACCAGGTGTGTTAAATCGCTTGGAAGCTTCAAAGCCCTAGTTCTGAGCATACCAGAAATGTGTATGCATTAGTTGGGAAATGTACTCTATAACATAGTGGTATTTAAATGATCTGTTCACACTTTACTATGCCTTTTCTTAAATATTCTTCAAATATATAAAAATAAGAAGAAGGAAAGAATACCAATGATGAATGGTAGAATACAAAAACTGTAATGAATCCTTCCTTAGTGGCCAAGGAAAAGGAGTAATAAAAAGTCTGTCAAGAGACAGAGATCATGTTTGTATCCGAAAACCATAATACCACTCAATCATTATCAATAAAGCACCTTGGATATTTCCTACGAATTTTGGGATTGAGAATTGAGCATTAGGATTTAGGGAACAGTAGTAAAAGTAAAACTTACTTTGTTCCCTGAAGTATAATCAAATTAATATTGTTTTGATTATCAGGAAACTTATAAGATCAAAGGTTTATTCAGCCTCTCTGCTTGTGGTTAATGGAAGTAAATATAGGAATGAGAATGGACTCTACTCTTAGAAAATATTTTCTTTATCAATAATGGATCAAGACCATGAATAGTCAAATATTTAAGCTAAGAAAAGAAAGCCACCATCTCCTAGTTTCAAAAGTGTATCATGCAAAATGTATAATATCCTTTTTCCTTATTAAAGGTCTCTATATCTCTTTTCCTTTTAAATAGTTTCCTCTCCTAGAGCACTGTCCCCCTGGGGGACACTCTTCTCACTGGTGATTCCCTCCCATGAGAGAAGTTGGGGAAAGGGTGGTTCAGAGATGTGGCAATAGTGAGCTCTGTCCTGGACATGCTGAGTTTTTGAAAAGTACCCCATCCATCTTGCTTGCAAGTTTTTACATAATTAGTGCTTAGCATGGTTTGTGGCACGTAGTAAGCTCTGAATAAATGCTTTATCTATCTATCTATCTATATATTAAGGACATATCAAGTTGCTTTACCAGAAAATGTAAGTAGAAAATGGTATAAGCCAAGGTCCTCATTCTCAAAGAGTTTGTAATCTGGCACTAAAAATTTGGCAAAACAGATGCTTCTACATAAATTATACTCAGCTGTAGACAGCAGCAAACTTGGAGAATCCAGCTAACAGAGTCAACAGCATATACCCATAAAATGTTCTAGCCAAGCCTTCAGAATATCTCCTGAGAGCTCAACCAATTAGGAAATTGATGAGGATTAAATCCAGCAAACAAACAAATACATTTTATTTTCAAAATATTGGGGAGGGAAGAATATGCAAAAAGGAGAAAACATGAATATGTTATAATCATTATCTGGGACTTTTTGTGATATAGAGTTAGCCACATTCCTTGCTGAAATATATACTGTATTTTATAGAAACCCCATTCCTGTAACTCAGAAAGATAAAAAAGTAAATAGTATGTGAATGATTGTTTATCCAATTAATCTCAAAACATCATCATCATCATCCCTATAGTCATCATGTCAACTCTCCTTGACTTCTTTATTTATGGAAATCATACCACGTTTTTAGTTTTCCACTTATATTCAACATCTTGACTCTTACCTCACTCTCATCGATATGATATTCCATAAATCTGGGTATGCCCTATGACACAGTTTTGAGCCCTCTTCTCTTCATTCTCTACATTCTCTTTCTTGGTGACTACTTCAAATTGGATGTCCTTGAGATTATTTCAAACACAGCAAGTCCCAAAAAGAACTGATTATTCCTCCACCTCCAATCCAAAGTGTTCTCTAAATTCCCTATTTCTGTTGAAGGCACCATCCTGATTCCTCTCTCCAAGGATCACGACCTCAGTCTTATCCACAACTGTTTAGTCTCTCCTCCCCCCTATATAATCATTTATCAAATCTTACTATTTCCTTTCCACACTTGTGTCTGACTCATTCTGTTTACTCACACAGATACCATCTTAATTTGATCTTTCATCATCTCCCAGCTACTATTGTAATAGCCTCTCTATTGGTCTACCTGACTAAAAACAGTTCCTGTTTTATCATATCCTTCCCATAATTATATATGTGAATGTCCTTAAGAGTAGATCTGATTATGTGACTTTCCTACTCAGTAAAGTGGCTTCCTGTTGTTGCATCTAGGATAAAACAGAAACTTTTCTCTTTTGCTTTCAGAGACACATCTTAAGTAGCATATGCATATACATGTGTGTATATGTATATGTATATGTATATGTATATGTATATGTATATGTATATGTATATGTATATGTATATGTATATGTATATGTCCTTGAAGTTCCTTGTGAGGGATTATTTTATTCTTTTTTTAATCTCCAGTGCAAGACAGATAGTAGTATAATAAATTATTGTTGAATAATTGACTGCTCTGTAACTTATATAGTCTTGCAGAATTACCTCAAGTGTTGAGAGGCAAAGTAACTTTCTTGTGGTCACACAACCAGTATGTATCAAAGGCTAGATTTAAACCCAGGTCTGGTTGACTGCAAGATCAGCACTCTATACAGACTAAGCCATTTTGCTTTGAGTTGATTCATAATTATTAAAAAAATCAAAAAGTGATATTCCACATTTTCTATGGCTTTTTCCAAAATATCTTATAAGTGATGAATTCAGGCAATCAGGAAATATTCAATATAATAAAATTCCTTCAGGGAAATCATTTTCTTATGGAGAATAGAAGTTGTATCTCCTTTTGTACATATCTTTTATTCAAGGGACAAGGGATGGAGCTGGACTTATGGTTTCATTTTGAATAGGGAATTTCTCCTGAGGAAATTCTCTTTCTTCTGGTGCTTTTGTTTGTTATGTTTTTTTTTTTTTGTATATGGCTCATAGGTTAAGTTTGAACCTAGGTCTTCTTGAATCTCTATCCACTCTGGTCAGCTGACTCTGGATCTAGAAAAAAGTGAGCATTTAATAAGTGTTTTTTGTTCAATTCTTTCAAGCGCTAAAAAAAATTCAAAATTTGTCCCATGTATTGATTGTTGGATAGAATAAAAACACTTTACGAAAAAGTCAGAATATGCAAAAGTAAGGGAAAATGTGAAGATGATAACAAGGAGGTGAAAGGTTAATACACTATTAGCCAGTTTGGCCAAGACAGATATTTGTGGTAGCTTTAGGTCTTGCTAAAGACTGGTTTTATGGACATTCTATTCACATAGCTCATAAATATTTAAATGGTACAGTATGTATTAAGTATGTATAGATAGTAGTAGCAGCACCCTGACCAGTACCAACAGAATTCTTCCTCTTCCTCTTCCTCTTTCTCCTCTTCCTCCTCCTCCTCCTCCTCCTCCTCCTCCTCCTCCTCCTCCTTCTTCTTCTTCTTCTTCTTCTTCTTCTTCTTCTCTTCTTCTCCTCTTCCTCCTCCTCCTCCACCTCCTCCTTCTTCTTCTTCTTCTTTTTCCTCTTCTTCATCACCATCATCAAAGCAACTGTCCTTTCAGACTTTCCTATTTCTCACATATTAGGCACTGCATAATCATTCTCTAGGTTTCTCATGTTGAAACCTTTGTTTCTTCTCCCCTTTTCCACCAGAAAGTTAAGCATTACTCACTAATCAAACATGTAGTTACCTAACACACGAGAAAGAGAATTAGAAGTGGGTAGAGATAACACATTTTTTTTTCTTGGTTAATTCAATTATTTTCATCAAAAAGGGCTAAATGGGCAATAATTAGTAGGATACTGATATTAAAATAGTTTTTTTGGTAGGGAATAATAGGTTTTTTTTCTAAAGTAAGAGAATTTGCTGTTGCCTTTCTTCTCTTTCTTTCTCCATTCCTCCTTCCCTCCTTCCTTCTTATTCACATATTCAATGCAATTATAAAATACTATTAAATATTTTAAATGGTTACATATTATTTTTTTCCCATTTAGAACAACTATGACAGTAAAACATATTATTGCCATATGTTCAAGGCCTCATCTGTTATCATTTTAGTTTGCTTAGCTTTTTGTCTGCATAAGCTTAAGTGTGTCTTTTGAGGGGTTAAGGATCTACTCAGTATTATTCTGTGTAACAGAAGTATTCTGAGTAAGGAAGATTAGCCTATGGTGATAGCACCTGAAAGGGTTGAAAATATGTCTTTGCATTATAAAAAGTTTACTCTAAAAAGTAAAGGGGTATTTAAGTTATTGCTGGACTGAATAAAATATATCTCACTCAGCAAGCTGATAGTTCATCAGACAGAATTTTAGATAACTATTTGGATAAAAGAATTGCTGTATGTTACCCACCACAACAACTGAGTTCAATTACTACTTTAGAGAAACCATAGCATTTACAAGTACAAAACTGGTGATTTAAAATGAAATAGAAATTTCCTGAGGCAGAGAAAAAAAACAGTTCAGAATAAAATGTTAATTCTTTCCCCAAATACTTACTTTCAAAATATAATGCTTTTAATCAACAGTGATATGAATCTATTCTTAACTACAATTTTAAAAGTCCAGAAGAAATAATCATGTTTTATTTTTAAATTTTTCAGGCTCATTTCAAGATGTCAAAATGCAGAGGACTCTAAAATCTTAATGCAGTTTTAAGCTTTAATAGCTTTAAGTTTCAATAGATTAAAATGGCATCAAGATTTTTTGGGATACCTTCCATATTATCAAAACAAACCTGATAAACAAAGAACTGGAAACAAAGTAGATATGCATTGATTGATGAATGGCTAAACAAGTTGTAGCACATGAAGGTAATGGAATATTACTCTACTATTTTAAATGAAAAATATGATGAATACAGAGAAAGATGGAAAGACTCTCATGAACTAAAGCTGTAAAGAAAGAAGACATATTAAAAATATATATACAATGACCACAACAAAGCAAATGGAAAGAACAAGTACAGAACAACTAAAAGTGAATGTTGCTGAATTATAAAGAATAAGGTTGGACTTAAAAATGAAGTCTTAGGAGATACTGCCCTTTTTTCTCGATTGAAATGGGGGAAAGGCATACACAGGTATGGAACATTTCTGATTTTTTTCAATTTATTGATTAATTTTGTTCAATACTTAAAATATTATAAGAGATGGTTTATTGGGAGTGATAGGGATTGGGACACAGGAAAATCAAGGAAATATGAAAGCAAAAGATAACAAAAAACTTATTAAAAATAAACCTAGTGATCTAAGCTTTCCTTAGGGTTTGGTTTCTTCACATATGTGAAGGTTATATGCATTAATCTAGGTAATAATCTGAGTAAACTCCCAGTGTGTAAACTTTTCTGCCAACAGATCCCCAGCTCACCTGTGTAATACCAAATAAGGCTTTTGTAGCACACAGAGATTCAGCAACCAGATAAGACCTCTATAACACACAGAGATTCAGTAACTTGCCCATGGTTACACAATTGAATGCTGGGGTGAAATTTGAACTCAAGCTCTCTTGACTGCAAGCTGTGGTAAGAAAAATATTTATTTTATGCAAGATAAGATGCCTTCCCTTTTAGGAGGCAAGGAAGTTGCTTTTGGGATTTGGTTGACCTGGAATCCAAGGGGTTTAAAAATCCCATTTATAGAGAGTCCCCATTGCCCTGCACTTTACACTCTGAAGTACACAAAAACTCTGGACATCCATGTTTGTTTATCTCATGTAATTCTTGTCCACATGCTCCATAAATTTAAACACTGGGGTCTACCCCATGTGCAAGAGCGTTTCCTTATTTTTTTCCTGAGAGCTTAAACTTACTAGTGGAATACTCTGACCACCTGTAATGCACTACTTTTAACATAAGACTATCTTGTTTTCTCTTTTTCTCAGATAATTCCTTGATAATTTTTTTGGCAGTTTCTTATTGATTTTCTTTTGTACTCTTCCCTTACCAAATCTAAGTCCCTACACTTGCCTCTATATGATAAGCATTTTTATATTTTGGAGGCAGTGGCATTTCATATCTCCATGCCATAGCAATAGTGATAAATTTTTAGTATTACATAAGTGGCCTTTCTTTTCATGGGAAGTTTGGGATCAACACAGGAACTTGATAATTTCCTAAAAGCAACCCAACCATCTTTTCTCCTCCTTTTATACTCTAGCCTCACCTTCTTGTTCATCTGTATGACAAATCCAGATATGAACTCTAATCAGCAAATGAAGCATCTACCCAAATGAGAGTTGGAATCTGAACAATAGAATTCAGCAAGCACCAGCCCTGAAGTCAGGAGGACCTAAGTTTAAATCTGGCCTCGGACCAAACACTCAACCCCAATTGCGTAACAAAAAAAAAATTTAAATAAACAAACAAGCAAACAAACAAATAAGAAAATAAAGAAATGAATAAAAAAATTAAAAATAAATTAATAAATAAGTAATGAATAAACATAAAAATAGAATTCTGTGTACACTCAGTCTTTCCTCTGTGGATAGACAAACTCAACTCTTGAGTGATTACTGATATCTTCCACAATGCTCTTCAATATTGTAGGACTTAATCCAATGCACACAATTTTGTCGTGGAACATTGACATTAATATGGAATTTAAACTTAACTTGGACTTCATCAGAGTGGTAAATACTCTTGACAAGCATGTATCTCCCTCTTTTATACTTCACCTTATGTTTCCCAGAGGGACACTAAAGAGCGTTTTATCTGTTATATATTCTGAGGAATCTTTAATGATCTAGATGTGTGGATAGAAACACTTCATTTTAAGAAAGTGTATTAAGATAGTACTTTATTCTACCTTGGGCTTTTCCATAATCCACAAACTATAGGCACAATGGTGTCCTAAATTCTTTAAATATTTCAGTCCATTGTGAAATGGTAGAGCTATTGACTATTGCTAATTTGTGAAAACCTTGTTCTTTTTTTCCCTACTAATTCACCCTTTGAAGATGACTTCAATGAATCCATAGCTAGATCCTTCATAAAAATTTAGCATGGAAGAGAGAGTAGCCATATAAGTCAGTACTTATTTATGTTCTCTTGGTACCCTATTTTTGGGGTATTCATAAGTTCTAAGACTTTTCCCATGCCTTTTGTATCTTGTCCTCTCCCTTGTGTATTGCTCATTCAATTATCTCATAAATGCATGACTTCTAGCATATTCTCTTCTATACATATTCAATCCAAAATCAAGGTTTTTACCATTTCTGTTCTCTTTAGTGTCATTTCTACCTCCTTTCTAAACACATCTGGAAACACTGTATTAAGGTCTAATTGACTGGATCCTTAATGGAAAAAAAGATTTTGATATAACATTAGAATTTTAATTTTTTTTTGCAAATCTTTTCCATTTTTCTTCTGTTTGTAGTCCTTTTTCCACTTTTATCCTTCAAACCCTCTGGGCTGTTTTGCTTAGTTGTAAATTTTGCCAAGCTTTATAAATCTGACTTTACTCTCCACTGCTTCTCTGCTTTATGAAATTATTTCACTCATAACCATTTATCATTCTTCTCTATAATATTTTACAAATAAGTTTATATCCTAACACATATTGCTTTTTTGGCAGTTATCTCTATTTGGAAAGAAAGTCATATGTTTGCAGACTAAGGTACTTCCTGGGCTTTTTTGATTTCTTGGCCCTAGTAATTAGTTTGCATTGGCTAAACTCTGGATAAAATTATTTTAACAATAATTTAACAAATACAGTAACTCGTATTTGTCACCTGTATTATTTTATAAAATTGTGTAACACATTATTTGGAAGTTATTTATTTATAATTCAATTTCATAAATATCATATTTCTTCATTGTCTGTCTCTTTTGAAGAATATGACCAAAATTTTGGTAAGGAGTTTTGTATACGCATTCAAAAGATCTCCAAAAGTTTTGGGAAAGTTGTGCTGATTTAATTATATTCTGAAAAATACCATACAACTATTTTATAGCACTCATATCACTTTACAATTTTCTTGTGCACTTATCATAAATGTATGATAATTATTTCCATTTCTACCATATACCATGTGCCTGATATTAGGCTTCGTGAGGGCAGAAGTTGGGTCTTATTTCAACTTTTTAGTCCTAGTGCCCTAGCACTGAATTATATTTAACATTCTCAAAAGTATTTTTAAAATACCTGAATTATGAACTGCACCACTGTACCCCAAATTAATATTATCTCTGAGAGAAGCATTATTTTAATTGTTATCTTTAAAGGAAAACTAATCTCCACCACAATTTGTGGGATTGGAAAATCAGTCACCAATGAGCCTGAAAATATAAAGTCATGCCTCTACCCTTGTGTTGAAATTACAAGTCTTTCCACTTCATTTCTGCCTGGAAATGATTGTGTTCAACATAACTTATGATCAGAGCATTTTCTCAGAGGCACAAGGGTACATAGAGCATGGAAAAGGAATGTCAGTACAGCTCGGGGGGAGCATTTAACATTGGACCTCTACCAGAGAAGGACAGATGAAACCCACGTTCTTTGCTCTGTTCACAGGAGAAAGAATGCTTTGGAAAGGCTCAAATGCACTGAAGTACTTTCTCTGGACGAACATGATAAAACATTTTAAGAACGGAAAATTGTGGCTTCTCTCAGCTCTTCCCATCCTATCACTGCCACAATATTGCTTATATTGAATCCCTACTAAACTACAAATAATTACTTTGTGTCTTGTAGCCTGTTCAATAACTCAGTTTTGAGTTTTACTTTTTTCAAAGGTTTGTTGCCATGCCAACAAAGAGGATGTGACTGTTCAGTGTTCTTGCTATAATGACAGTAAAGAAACCCCAAATGGTTTATAGTAAATAGCAACCACATCACAAGGCATAATAATAGCATTTTTTTTGAGGAAGATAAGTTGGAAGTATATAATTAAGAGTTATTTAACTCACTTGGAAGGAGACACATTTTGTTTTTACTTTATATGTAAATTGACTATACAATTATTTCAGCAGGTCAGGCCTGAATAAAGAACACACACACAGGCTCACATACACACACACACACACACACACACACACACGCACACACATACACAAATCTATGTGTGTGCATATGTGTGTATGTATATGTGTGTGTATATATATATGATAATCAATTACCTATATACATATCAATTCTTCCTTATTTCAAGAGATAAATCTTTAGTAAAAATATATCCCTCAAAAAAGTTAGATAATAATACTAAATTGAAGCAAATAATAACAAAAAATGTCATAATAGTTTTGGCCTTGGTTTTTAGCACATACACGTGAAAATGGGAGGCAGTGGGATAGAATTCCATTAAATTCAGCAAAAAATATATTAAGCATCTATCATGAGCCAGGCACTGTACTAGGCACTGGGGATACCTATACTCATGCTTCTGATATTCTACATTACTTTTAAAAATTTTCTTAGCAGTTTTGAGGTGCATTACATATGTAACATTACCTTCATTTTACAGATGAGGAAACTAAGATGTTATATTGGGATATTTTATTCTCTTTTCTTTAAAATAATAACTAGTGAGGATAGATCACTGGGTCTGAAGTGAGACAGATCTGCATTCAAATTCAGCTTCTAACATTTACTAGTCATATAAGCCTGGGCAATTCACTTAAGGACTCTCTCCCTCAGTTTCCTCAGGTTGTTGGAAGGATCAAATTAGATATTTGTAAAGCACTGACTGCCACAAAATAGGTGCTTAATGAATGCGTATTACATCAATAATTTCCTTCTTTTCTCTGTCCCTCCCTCCCTCCCTTCCTTCCTTCCTTTCCCTTCCTCCCTCTCTTCCTTCCCTTCTCCTTAACTGGGTAGAGACTTGTGCCAGAGGGACCAGACATACAGTATTTCAATTCAATATTCCAGGTTTGATACAATGAGTGTTCTTTGGTGGCAGTGTCAAAAGAGAGAAGAGGGAGATATATATATATATATATATATATATATATATATATATATATATATTATATATATATATATATATATATGCCATATTTGTATGTGTATGTGTATCTCATATTATAAAGGCAGAAACAACAGAATATAACAGGACTTGAACGTTTATTGCACATGGGGAGAAAGTGAGAGAGAGAAAATGCTAGGTGTAGGATTATATTTTGGTTTACAGCCTCAGTGATTGGGAAGATGATGGTATCCTAATACAGAAGTTAGAAAGAGGGGACAGTTTGAGGAAAAAGACAATGAGTTCATTTTTGGATATGTTGATTTTAAGATGTCTACAAGGAGGGATCATGATCTGAATAACTGGTAATGTTAACTCCTTGACTGAAATTACAGAAGCATGAAGTAAGTACTTAAGAGTTTCTTTAAAGCCATTTAGAATTCAGAGATGTTTATTTCAATTACCAGACAAAGACATAGCTTTGACTTGTACTGTATAAAGATTCAACCCAAGACCGGATGTATATAAAAGAATATTGAAGGCTGCTTTCATGATACAGTCTTCTACTGCCCTCAAACCTCCAAAGTTCTGAAGAACTGTTTCCAATCAAAATGTTAGCAATTTGATGGTAAAGAAGTAGCTGCTACCCAAAGAGAAAAATATTTTTTAAAATAGCACTTCATATGTACCTACAACATCCATGTACCTATGGATCTTCACCCTCTAGCATAAAAATTGCATAGGGAAAATGCCAGATTGGGAGTTGGGAAATCTTGGGTTCAAATTCTCTTTGACTTATAAATAAATGATTTTTAGGTTGGAACTCAAAAATGCTTAGCATAAAGACTTCTTACAAGGGATTATGACAGCAGACTTTAAGTACTATACTTAAAAGATTGCCAAGTGGGAAAGGCCATAGACTTGTCTTGTTCATTTCCAGAGGGAAAAATCAAACAAGAATGCAATTCTCAGAGAGTTATGAGGAAAAAAAAATAATCATAGCTGTCCTAAAGTAGAATAGGATACCTTAAAAGGTAGTGGGATGCACCTTCCTACAGGCTTTCAAGCAAAAGCTGGATTTGATATGATGTAGAGGGATTCCTTAATGAGTCAGTTTGGATTAGGTAATCTCTGAGGTTCCTTTCCATTATAACTTCCATGTTTATGTATTTTTCCTTTAACCTTTTGCCTCATGGGTAAATCCAGGAAACCAACTACTGAACTGACCTTGAAGAGTTATAAGGATCACTTGAGGTAGTGTACATAAAGCACTAAAATTTCTAAAGTCTACCTAAATGCCAATTATTATTTTGTAACCTTTTAAATTTTTTCAAAAACTATTATTTGAAACACGCCTCTCCTTTCCCTTTTGCTTCCTTATTCTCTTAGACACTTGATTCACTCTTTTGAATGTGAATTGTTGAA